TGAGGACAGGGCAGGGATGGGGCAGAGGCAGGGTGAGGACGGGGCAGGGATGGGGCAGAGGCAGGGTGAGGACGGGGCAGGGATGGGGCAGAGGCAGGGTGAGGACGGGGCAGGGACGGGGCAGAGGCAGGGTGAGGACGGGGCAGGGATGGGGAGGGAATGGGGCGGAGCTGGGGCAAAGATTGGTGGAGATGGGGTGAGGATGGGGCACAGTTCCAGGACCCACACTCAGAGGGATGGAGACAGGTGGATCTGGAGCTGGACAAGGCTTGGGGGGCCCCTGCCTCGGGCTTCCTGCAGACTCCCCCCACAAGTGCCCACCCTGCTCTCAGTGTGCCTGAGAACCGCAGGCACTTGGAGTGTGGCCAGAGGCTGCCCAGCCCTCCCGCCCTGCCCACCTGCCTGGGCTCACCATGGACCCTGACAACAGAGCGGCTCCGGGCACCCCCCGCCTCGCACTTGTAGTGCCCGCCGTCCTGCAGGGTGGTGTCCGTGATGACCAGCCGGGCCTGGCAGCCCTCATAACTCAGCTGGCACCGGGCCGAGGGCCAAAGGGTCTTCCCATCCTTGGTCCAGCTCACAGAGCTGTCGGGCGTGGTGGTCTCACAAACGAGAGTCAGGTCGTCCCCCTCAAGGACTGTGGTGTCAGTGAGCTCCCGAGAGAACATGCTCGGCTTCTCTGGGGGCCAGGGAAGAGAAGCAAACTGCGTGGGCTTCATGCCACCATGCTGGCCGCTTAGAGGGCCCATGGGTGAAGCCCCAGGCCAGCACCCTCTCTCCCCTCTGGGTATGGTCACAAAAGGGCTGTCAAGGGGACAGAGTGGGCCCGTGTGGCCCCTCAGCCCAGAGGGGACACAGCCTAGCTCACGCCATGCTGGCTGTGGGCTCAGGAGGTCCGCACACCACGAGAAACAGACCCACCCCGAAAGAGCCCAACTCAGCCTTGCAAGCTCCACTCCCAGGGGTCAGAGCCCCCTGCCCCCAACGGGCAACCAGTGCCTTCTTGTGAGCCCTGGACACCACTTGTCACGTGGCCCAGCGGCTGTCTGCGGTCTGCCCTTGTGAGTCTGTGGCCCTCACCAGCATGGACGGCATCTTGCTGACCCTCGTGCCCCCACACAGCGCTGGGTACATGCCCTTACTCTGTGGACACATGACCCACCTGTGATCCGCAGTGTAGCCGAGGCCCGCTGATCACCTGCCTCAAAATGGACAGTGCCCGAGTCCTTGAGCGCGAGCTGCCGTAGGGTCAGCACGTGGTAGCCCCCGGGCTGGACCTCAATCTCGTTGAGCTCGTTGGCATGCAGGGGGGTTTTGTCCAAGAACCAGTGGACAGGCTCATAGTCGGCAGGGGAGATACGGCAGCGGAAGGTGGCTGAGGAGCCCTCCTGCACATCCACGTCCTCCAGGTCTTCAATGATGCGCACCCTCTGGCCTGCGAGGGCACAGATGGGCAGGTCAAGGGCACTGGCCTGTCTGGGTGTGGACTTGGCCATCTGTTCAGGGAAACGTGGCGCTACCCAGACCTCGGGGGCCCGTGCTGGCAGCTGGGGAGACCCTGTCTGACAAGCTCATGTTAGCAAAACTTGGAAGACAGTACTTGGATCACAGTGGAGTTGTCCAAAAATATTTGTTTTAGGTCAACCTATGGGTCTCAGGGAGCCCTGGTGGCTCAGTAGTTAACCACTCGGCCGCTAACCAAAACGTTGGCAGTTTGAATCCACCAGCTGCTCCTTGGAAACCCTATGAGACAGTTCTACTCTGTCCTACAGGGTCACTATGAGTTGGAATCGGCTCGGATGGCAATGGGTATGCGTCCCAGACTCACCTCCACCCACCTCTCTGGTCCTGCAAAGCATGCTGAGTAAGTCCTGCAGCCTGTGGAAGGCTGGGGGCGGAGGGCAAGCTTCCCTCTGGCCACACCCACTCCTCTGCCCCCCACTGAGCTGTATTTACCAAGAGTGGCTGCCTGCTTCCAATTCTGTTCATGCTGGTTATTAATATAATGTAATGAAATTAAATCTTACACTAACCAATGAAATAGTGGTGTGAAAAAAGAGTTGTGGCTATGTTAAAATGCTTTGGAGGCTTGAAAAAGCAAACTGCTACAAAAAAGCTTTTTGCTGTTGAATCGGGTACGGGAAAAGATTAGAAAGAACTCATAAATAACGAGACGGATTCTGCGTTCAGATTCCTCTTGCACTCACAAGTGTCTTCAAGTTATCATTCCACTTTAAAGAGACTGACTGGAAAACAGAGATGGTGTATTATAAGGATGGTTGGCGGGAAAAAGACAAGGGATTTTGGTCAGCAGACCAACACGCAAAGAAAACGCTGGCCTACACCTACAGACTGGTGAACATTTCTATGTCCTAAATGTTTAAAAGAGCCTATTTCATTATTTTATGACTCGGTTTAACTGCCGTTTTTGCTTAAGTACGAATATCAACTTTATTACATAAGAGGGCTTTTACTGTGCTAACAAAAACATTTTTGCTGAATTGTAAAGTACAACGAGAAGCAAAAAAAGTGAAACTTCCTTGTTGATGTTGCTACTAATTATCATTGTGGCCTCTCAAGCACCGAATCCTGTGATTTCCTACGGGCAGACCACAGAGTGACTTCTGGTAGATGCCACCTGGGTGCCAGCTCTGGAACTCAGCAGCCTGGTGAAGGGTACAGTCAGGAGGGTGGGGTCCAAACCCTACCCTGATGCCAACACGCCCTCTAACCCCAGGCCAGTCACTCCCTGGCGGAAAGCCCCAATCTCTCTATCTAAAAAATGGGAGGTAGTGACCTTTCGTGAGCCCTGGTGGCTCAACAGTTAAGCGTTGCTAACCGAAAGGTAGGCAGTTGGAATCCACCAACTATTCTGCAGGAGAAAGGACCTGGCAATCTGCTCCCATAAAGACTGTTCTTGTTGTTGTTAGGGGCCATCCAGTTAATTCCAAGTCACAGCGACCCTATGTACAACAGAACGAAGCACTGCCCAGTCCTGAGTCATCCTCACAATCATTGCTATGTTGGAGCCCATTGTTGCAGCCACCGCGTGTCAATTTATCTCCCTGAGAGCCTTCCTCTATTTTGCTGACCCTCTACTTTACCAAGCATGATGTCCTTCTCCAGAGAATGGTCCCTTTTGATAACATGTCCAAAGTACATGAGACAAAGTCTCACCATCCTCACTTCTAAGGAGCATTCCGGTTGTACTTCTTCCAAGAAAGATTTGTTCATTCTTCTGGCAGTCCATGGTATATTCAATATTCTTTCCCAATACCATAATTCAAAGGCATCAATTCTTCTTCCTTATTCATTCTCCACCTTTCGCATCCATATGAGGTGACTGAAAATACCATGGCTTGGGTCAGGCGCACCTTAGTCCTCAAAGAGAATCTTTGCTTTTTAACACTTTAAAGAGGTCTTTTGCAGCACATTTGCCCAACGCAATACATCGTTCGATTTCTTGACTGCTGCTTCCATGGGCACTGATTGTGGATCCAAGTAAAATGAAATCCTTGACAACCTTAATATTTTCTCCGTTTATCATGATGATGTTTATTGATCCAGTTGTGAGGATTTTTGTTTTCTTTACGTTGAGGTGTAATCCATAGTGAAGGCTTGTGGTGCAGTGAATTACTTAATTTGGCCCCTCTAGCCACAGTCTGTGACTCCCACACAATGACTGGGTGGGGCTATGCAAATAAGGTATGTGGAATCTGTGATGGTTAAGGTTATGTACCAATTTGGCTAGGCCATGATTCCCAGTATTGTGTGGTTGCCCTCCGTTTTGTGATGCGTTATAAATCCTAGCCTCTACGCCTGTGGTTATGGTCACATTTGGGAGTGAGTTGTCCATTATGTTAATGAGGCAGGATTAGGGTGGGATGTACCTTGAGTCACTGCCTTACTAGAGGGTGTGACTCAAATCACCACTCTTACCCCAGCCACCACCCTTACTACCCTTATTTAAGTCACATCCTTACTTGAGTCATGCCTTTTATAAGAAATAAAAGGAAAGAGAAGTGAGCTGAGAAGGGGGAACCCATTACCACCAAGAAGAAGAGCACATTGTTTGGACCCGGGATCCCTGCACTGAGAACCTCCTAGATCCAGGTGACAGAGAGTCGTTGGTGCAAGACAGTGAGAAACAGCGGCAAGCATGGCAGAGAACCAGCAACAGCAGAACGAGGAGACAGGGAGGTGGGCTTCCCAGCCTACAAAGCGAGGTAGCTACAGTGGGTGTGCCAACTCACAGAGCAAGAGAGCTGAGCGTCTTCAGGCAGGAGGCTTCCTGGTGGTATGGGATGCCCCTGGGCACTTATGAGCAGAGCTAAAGAGCTCTGTAACACTTGCCTGAGCTGAGGGCCAGAGAGAGAGGCCTGCCTGCAGGCACAGCTAAGAACAGGCTGCTCTGATGGAAGAACTGTATCCTGAGTCATTTCTAATCCTGAATTATAACCTGTTAACTTCCCTAATAAACCCCATAATCGTGAGTTTTGTCTGTGAGTTGTGTGTGGCCACTGCAACGAATTATCGAATCCAACAGAGAAGGAGAAAGTGCTGTGGGAGGGAAGGCTGGTGTCAGAATTACTAAAAAGTCTGGAGAGAGAAGTATGTCTGACCTCCGCCTCAAAGGAATCAGCCTTGGGTGGCTGATGCTGATAATGATTCTCTCTCCACCTCGTGAAGTTAGAGGAGGTCAGATGTCTCTGCCACACCATTTTTACAAAGCTGTAGTTTTTGATCTTCATCAGTAAGTGCTTCAAGTCCTCTTCACTTTCAACAAGCAAGGTTGTGTCATCTGCATATCACAGGTTGTTAAAGAGTCTTCCTCCAATCCTGATGCTGCGTTCTTCTTCATACAGTCCAGCTTCTCAAATTATTTGCTCAGCGTACAGACTGAATAAGTATGGTGAAAGGATACAACCCTGATGCACACCTTTCCTGATTTTAAACCATGCAGCATCCCCTCGTTGTGTTCAAAGGACTGCCTCTTGGTCTACGTACAGGTTCCACATGAGCACATTTAAGTGTTCTGGAATTCCTATTCTTCATGATTTATCCATAATTTGTTATGATCCACGGTTGAATGCCTTTGCATAGTCAATAAAAGGCAGGTAAACATCCTTCTGGTATTCTCCACTTTCAGCCAAGATCCATTCGACATCGGCAATGATAACCCTCCATTCCATGTCCTCTTCTGAAACCAGCTGGAATTTTTGGGAATTCCCTGTCAATGTACTGCTGCAACTCTTTCTGAATTATCTTTGGCAAAATTTTACTTGTGTGTGATGTTAATGATATTGTTCAACAACTTCCGCATTCTGTTGGATCACCTTTCTTTGGGATGGGCGTGTATGTGGAACTCTTCCAGCCAGCTGGCCAGGAATCAGTCTTCCAAATATCTTGGCACAGATAAGTGGGCGCTTACAGCGTTGCATCTGTTTGCTGAAACATCTCAATTAGTAGTCTGTCAATTCCTGGAGCCTTGTTTTTCATCAATGCCTTCAGTGCAGCTTGGACTTTTTCCTTCAATACCATCAGTTCTTGATCATATGCTACATCCTGAAATGGGTGAACATTGACCAATTCTTTTTCGTACAGTGATCTGTGTATTCCTTCCATCTTCTTTTGATACTTCCTTTGTCATTTAATATTTTCCCCATAGAATCCTTCAATATTGCAACTCGAGGCTTTACTTTTTTCTTCAGTTCTTTAAGCCTGAGAAATGCCAAGCATGTTCTTCCCCTCTAGTTTTCTAACACCAGGCCTTTGCACATGTCATTGTAATACTTAACTTTGTCTTCTTGAGTCGCCCTTTGAAATCTTCTGTACAGCTCTTTTACTTCATTTCTTCCATTCATTTCAGCTACTCGATTATTCAAGAGCAGCTAAGTTTCAGTCTCTTCTGACATCTATTTTGATCTTTTCTTTCTTTCCCGTCTTTTTAATGAACTTTTGCTTTCTTCACATATGATGTCCTTGATGTCATTCCACAACTCGTCTGGTCTTCAGTCATTAGTGTTCAATGCTTCAAATCTATTCTTGAGACGGTCCCTAAATTCAGGTGGGATATACTCAAGATCATACTTTGGCTCTCATGGACTTGTTTTAATTTTCTTAAGCTTCAACTTGAATTTGCATATGGGCAATTAATGGTCTGTTCTGCAGTCGCCCTTGGCCTTGTTCTGACTGATGACATTGAGTTTCTCCATCACCTCTTTCCACAGATGTAGCTGATTTGATTCCTGTGTACCCCACCCGGAGAGGTCCACACATACAGTCACTATTTATGTTGTTGAAAAAAAGGTATTTCCAATGAATAAGTCACTGGTCTTGCAAAATTCTATCACGTCATCTCCAGTGTCATTTCTATCACCAAGGCCACGTTTTCCAACTACTGATCCTTCTGCTTTATTTCCAACTTTGGCAGTCGAATCACCAGTAATTATCAATGCATCTTGATTGCAAGTCTGCTCAACTTCAGACTGCAGAAGCTGGTAAAAATCTTTAGTTTCTTCATCTTTGGCATTAGTGGTTGGTGCGCAAATTTGGATAACGGTTGTATTAACTGGTCTTCCTTGTAGGCATATGGATGTTGTCCTATCACCGACAGCATTGTACTTCAGGATAAATCTTGAAATGTTCTTTTTGACAATGAATGTAGTGCTGTTCCTCTTCAATTTCTCATCCCCAGCATAGTGGACCATATGATTGTCCAATTCAAAACGGCCAATACCAGTCCATTTCAGCTCACTAATGCCTAGGATATCAATCTTCCAACATTCCATTTCATTTTTGATAACTTACAATTTTCCTTGATTCGTACTCCATACATTCCACATTCCAATGACTAATGGATGTTTGAAACTATTTCTTCTCATTTTGAGTCATGTCACATCAGCATATGAAGGTCCCACAAGCTTTATTCCATCCACATCATTAAGTCAACTTTACTTTGAGGAGGTAGCTCTTCCCCAGCCATCTTCTGAGTGCCTTCCATCCCGAGGGGCTCATCTTCCAGCACTACATCAGACAAGGTTCCAGTGCTATCCATAAGTCCTCACTGGCCAATTTTTTCAGAAGTAGATCAGTAAGGCCTTCCTAGTCTAAGTCTGGAAGCTCCACTGAAACCTGTCCACTAGGGGTGACCCTGCTGGTGTTTGAAATGCCAGTGGCTTAGCTTCTGGCATCACAGCAACACACAAGCCACAACAGTACAACAGACTGACAGATGAGTGGTGTCCATAAAGATCGTCGCTGTTGTCGTTGTTGTTGTGTGCCGTCAATTCGATTCCGACTCATCACAACCCAATAGCACAGAGCAGAACTGCCCCATAGGGTTTCCAAAGAGCAGCTAGTAGATTCGAACTGCCGACCTTTTGGTTAGCAACCTGAGCTCTTAACCACTTCACCACCGGGACTCCCCATAAAGATGACAGCCTAGGAAACCCTACAAGGCAGTTCTACTCTGTCCTACGGGGTCGCTGTGAGTCAGAATTGACTCAATGGTACGCAATGACGACAGTGACCCTCACTTACTGAAGGCAGGGGCTTGCGGGAAGCACCCAGGATGGCTACCTGAAACCATCCCATGACACAAAGTACCATTGAAATCGGAAGACCAAAACAGAAGTGACAAAGAGCCACACAGTCATCAACAACGATGACATGGACTGTCAGCTCTCCCTGAAGCCAGAGCTTTCCACATCCCAGGCTCCTGTCCATCTGCGTGTCTGATCTCCTCTGGACAGGGAGCATCCCCTGCCCTGACAGGACAGTGGGGAACACCACCCAACTGCCTCCTAAAGAAGGGGCAGGGCTTGATCGGGGTGTCTGTGGCGGGCCGGGCTCTGTGGCAGACCAGCCACAGCAGCATCAGCAGCCAGTGAGTGTGTGTGGCTCCGGGCTCCCCTGAGCCTGTGTCGTACGTGCGGAGCCCGCGCATGGGGCCCAGCCACACCCAGCACGCAGGGCTGCTCAGGAGCATTTACTGAGCACATGAGGGCATGACTACAGGAGGCCCACTGGATTCCGCCCAGAAGATCAAGCCGGTGGTCCACAGAGACTGCCCAGTGCAACTCCCTCCTCTTACAAATGGGGACACAGGCTTCCTTGTGCAGAGCCATGCAGTGGGAGGACCCCGGTCTCTGGGCCACCTAGGGGCTCCAGGCTCTGCTTTGAGCAAACCTGGTTACCTGAGCATGCACGTGGCTATGGTAACTGCATGCTCAGCCGGCCCAGCACCTCACCTTGCACCAGGAGCCGGGCCTGGGATTGGGCCTGGCCGATGTCGCAGACGTAGGTGTCGCTGTCTGTCCGCTCCAGGGCACTGATGGTGAGCCTCAAGGCCAGGCCGTCCTGGCTGGGCGCATGCTTGGCCGAGGCACGCAGCTCCACCAGGCCCCTGCGCCAGGTCACTAAGGTCGCGGGACGCTCCGTCTCGCACTCAAACACTGCCGAGCCCTTCTCTTCAGCCTGCACGTCAGCCAGCTCCTTGGTAAAGCGGTTTGCCCTTTCTGGAGGAGGAGTGGACAGATAGGGGATGAGATCCCTCAGCACGGCCACACTTCACTATGGGCACTGCGGGATGGGCGGAGCCCGATGCCAGAGCCTCCCGTGCCTGGGCAGCCTCTCCACCCCACCAGCCTCGGTGTCCTGCCCGGACAGAACAGCGAGCTCAGAGCGGGTGGGCCTGGTCTGGCCCTGCGTCACCTTCCACGTGGAGGCTGGCCGTGCTCCTGGAGGCCTCCGTCTCACATGCGTACTCGCCCGAGTCGTGGAGTGTGGCCGTGTGGATGACCAGCAGGGCCCGAGTGCCCTCGCTGCGCACGTCGTACTTCTGACTCTTGCGGATGGCCTTGCCGTCCTTCAGCCAGCGCACTGGGGCGCCTGCCCGGGACAGCTCACAGCTCAGCACCACGTCCTCCCCTGGTGTCGCCTGCTGGTCCTCCAGGGCCTTTGTGATGCCCACTGGCCTCTCTGAAGGGAGACACCCACCCTGTGAGGCCACCGTAGCCCAGCCATGTCCAGGGAGGGGCAGGGTGGGCACTCAGACCATGGCGGCTGAGGCTGCAGGCCTTGCACCCTGGCATGCAGGGACCTCGGCCAGGGAGCCTCAGAGCCCTGGAAGGCTGGAAGTCCAGACTTCCCCAGGAGGGGGGCTGGGGAGCATAAGGACATGAGACAGCAAGTCTTATACTTAGGGCATCTGTCTGAACACTGTCTCTCAGGACACACCCAGGGCTGTGTGGGGCTGCATGCAGTGGAAGCTCTCACGTGCCGTCGGGCCATGGAGCAGAATAAGAAATCCTGGCCCTCTCTCAGAGTTGAAAAAGCTCTTCTCTAAAGTGGTGGCCCCCATGACCCCAACAGACTGTCTCGGGTTCCCACAACTTCGGGGGTGCTCACCAGGGCTGGGGGGCAGTTGGGAGTACCCCAACGCTCTGCAGCTGAGACCCCGATCCTGGCCACATGGGAAGGGACAGGCTGAGCAGCCAGGGGCCCGCAGTGAGCACCCCCCAGCCTGCATGCCCACCTTTGACGACCAGCGAGGCCTTGGAGGTGAGGCCCGCCACAGAGAACACCACCTCTCCTGCATCGCTCATCACGGCATCCCGAACAGCTAGGGTGTACTTGCGGCCCTGGCGCCCGGCCCGGAAGTGGCCAGAGTTGCCCACCGTCTTCCCACCGACGGTCCAGACAGCTGGCTCGCTGGCGCTCTCATGGGACAGGATGCACTCAAAGCTGCAGCTCTCACCCTCCAGCACCTCCGCCGTCTTCAGCCTCTTCGTGATGCCCAAGTGCAGGTCTGCAGGGCCACGGGAGATGGCCGTCAGTGGCCCAGCCAGTGGGGGCCCCGAGACAGCACTGCTGAGCCAGGGAGCAACGCCACCAGCTAGAGAGTGCCCCGCACCCCACCCCGACAGCAAGGCTGCTCTCGCTGCACCCGCAGCCCCTCGGGGCCGCCTCCTGAGTCTCAGTCTGGCCATGCCTGGGCAGATGGGAGCGACCCAGCGTCCCCCGGCATCTGGTCTGATGGGGACGCCGCCCTTCCATCTGCTACGGAGGAAGGAGGAGGACACGAAGAGGTGAGGACAAGCTCCCAGTGAGGGCCGGTGCAGCCCTGCGACACGCCCACAACACCACCCTCCTCTTTCCCGTGCCATCACTAACGGCAGGGCCCTGGGGCCACAGGACGCTTTGGGAAGCAGAAGCACTCCGTAAGTGCTGGACGCCAGGTGCACACACAGCAGGCAGATGGCCCTCCCCTCATCCAGGGAGCCGGGCCCAGACGGCGGACGTGCTGAGAGAAGCCACACACCCGTGGGGCCAGAGGCCAGGCCATGGGGCCGGGTGGGGCCGCTCTACCTGCTGCCCTGCTCAGCCTTCCGCAGAGGCGGAGGGAATGAGAACGGGGCCTGCCTGCAGTCCTCACCCCACACTGCTCCCCGACCACCTCTCCTTGTGCCGCAGCCCCCTCCCCACCAGGAGGCCTTGCTGACCACCGCACACTGCACTGGTTCTGCCCAGTCCTTCCGTGCAGAGCTGTGTCCCCATCTTCTGTCGCATCCCCCGCCCCCATCCTGGGACTCTTGGGCAGGGTCCAGCAGCCTCCAGGCCCCTGTACCCTCCCTGCAGCCGATGGGCCACCTGGCCTCAGCCACTACGCCACCCTGCCTGAACCCAGGCCTGGTTCAGCCCACATCACACCAGGCTCTCCAGGAAGCCAGATGGACCCCTCCCCTCTGCTGAGCAGATTCTCAGCCCTGCAGAGGGGTGACCGCTCCCGGTGGTGCCCCATCCCCTTCCAGAGCCCCACCAGTGCCTTCAGGGTCAGGTGGCCACGTACCATGCACGCTGACCCGAGCACGGGTCTGCTCGGGGCCCACACAGCAGGTGTACAGGCCGGCGTCATCGTGGCTCAGGCCACGCACCACGAGCCCCCGTGTGGCCCCCGTGTGCAGGAACTCATACTTGTCGCCGAGGCCCAGCTCCACACCATCCTTGAGCCACACTACGTGGGCTTCGGGGTCCGAGACCTCACACCGCAGGGCCAGCGTGCCCTGTTCCTCTACTGACACGTCATCCAGGGCCTTCAGGAAGACCACCGGCTTCGCTGCAAGGGTAGGGGAGAGCAGGGTAGGCAGGTGGCCAGGGCACCTCGTACCCCCACCCCAGGCCCAGCACTCACCTCTGACCTCCAGGTGGGCAGAGGCGGTGACCCGGGCGGAGGCGAGACGCACAGTGCCCGTGTCTTCCCGGCGGACGCGCTTCAGCACCAGCGTGTGGCGGTGGCCCTCGTGGGTGATCTCGTGGAAGCTGTCGTTGTACAGGGGGGTCCCGTTGAGCGACCACTCCACCTCCTCGTCCTCGTGAGATAGCTCACACGAGAAGCAGGCATGGTCCTCCTCCGTGGCCTCCATGTCCTGCAGGGGCTGTGTCATGGTCACCTCCCGTGCTGTGGGGACACAGAGGCCTTTCAGCACCTGCTCCCAACCCACGACGCCAGCCACTGCCCCCAGACCCCTCGCCGTACCCTCCACAGTGACCATGGCGCTGCTCTGTGCACTGCCCGCCTGACACACGTAAACGCCAGCATCGTCAGGCGTGAGCCGCAGGACGCGCAGTTCTGCCATGTGGCCCTCGAGTGTCGTCTTGAACTTGTCGGAGGGCATCAGGGGCACGTTGTCCTTATACCATTGCACAGCCTTTGGGGGTGGCCGGAAGTCACAGGACAGCACCACCGACTGCAGCTCCCGCCCGGTCTTGGGCTCCAGTGGCCGCGTCAGTACCACGGGGACATCTATGAGGTCAGGATGCAACTCTGGGTGAAGACGTTGGGTTAGGGGACGGGGTCGGGCAGGCTGACACCCTCCCCCCAGCTGTGCGAGCAGTCAGCTGAGGTGACAAGGTGGGCAGGAACCCCATCTGCCGAGTGTCCCCCCCCTCAGGCCATGTGGGCAGTCA